CACACACACACACACACACGCACGTACACACATGCATACATTGATGATCCTCATATGCGTTTTTGTACTTCATCAATGACAAAAAAATAAGTAATGAACAAATACTCGCAACACATTGCCAGTGTCAAAACTGCACTACTGTTGTGCGGTCGCTTCCGTGCTACAGCAGATTTACATAGTTGAGCATTTTCATCCGGCTTCTCGACCGTGGTGGACGTTAGTCACCAATCCGTTTTTAACACACCTTATTCGCTATTTCACTAATTTTTGTTTCATTTATGTACTTTTACTGGGAAACAGTACATGTTCGATTTTTTTGGTTTCAGACGCTAACATAATATAAATAAAAACACAAAACATATTATGCACCATAAGCGGATATTGAGAATTTCTACAATTTTTAAAAAACGCGAAATTTAAACTTCGATCTCATAGAAAGATGACCCGTGCATTTCTATTCATTTCCAAATCACTGTCCTTACCGATATGTCTACCCTGCCGGAAACTAAAGATTTTTCGAAAGCTTCGCATGTCAGAAACGGCGACTGGTGTTTTGGTAGTTGGTGGTATTGGTAGTTTTTCCAGCAATTGGTCACATTTGATGAAAATGCTATCACACAGAGCAGAGATTGGTTGGCGTCTGCATCTCTCCTAGAACAAAATGCGTATGCAAGTGCAAAAAATACGGCTGTTCCGTAGTGATTTTGGCTGCAGGAAATACAAAAAATTTTTGAATTTGTAATATCAGTTTGCTTTTAAAATATGCGCATCTTAGTTTTGAAACGGTGCAGATACTATGGCTGTAAATGAGTCCGTTTTTTGAGTCAGACTCATCGCTTAGGTTTGCTATGAATTTTGTCTTCTTCCACTTTTAAATTCGATGATTTGTTAAGCAACGACCTTCTTTCTCCATTGTTTTCACAGGACAGTAAAGGCAAGCAAACTGCTCAACGATCATTCGTGGGGCAGATTAGCTTATTGGCCTGATGTATTTTTATATAAAAGAATGAAGTTTGACTGACAGACGTATCCTTGGACTAATTTTTTCAGTTTTGCTTCTAAAATTATTTTTCCGAGGCGAAAAATAGATCGTGGAAATTTTCGAAATATTGCAAAGCAGGGCAACCGATTTTTCAGTAGTGGACATTTGTAATCCTAACTGAGGATCAATTTGCAGGATGGACGCTGAGGTGGCGGAGCTGAAAGCCAACGTAAACAATTTATCTCAGTGCTTATATGCGTTGTTGAAACGGATTGAGCAACTCGAGGATACCGCCATTTCCACCACTGAACATCCCAACCTCAGCGCAACGAAAACAGCCAACGATGCTATCAATAGCCAACTTTCAATAAGGACTGCTCAGGGTGATCCCGAAAATAATCCGGACCCCGGTGTGCAGGTTAATATGTTTAAAGTGTATTACATCATCTGGAAACAACTAAAGCTGAATATTTTAAATCTTGAAACTTAATATGAAAGCAAATCCTGAAGCCTCCAATTTTGCTTCTGTTGCCTGAATCATCGGCACAACATCTCTTGAACTGCTAATAACCACGTGCATTAGCAATAGACCAGTAGCGGGAATCGATAGTTTAGTTCTGCCATTGGAAAAACTAATCCTTTCATAAGTTTTTGATTTATTGTGATGATTATCGTGACACATACCATGTAGTGTCAAAACCACCATCGACTTGCTTCTAAGCAGTCTTCAGAAAAGGAAAGCATCAACGATCCTGCAGCAAGAGGTTGTTGCTGATAGTGTGTTCTGGCTTCTTCCAAGCGCTTTTACTGCTTAGAGGAAATGAATACGCAAGGGACTCGACTTCTAGATTTTTTGACTCTTTGAGAAACTTGAAATCGTTCGGTCTCTCAGTGTAGATTCTTGAGATATGAAATAATAAAATGCGAATACATTCATACAAAATATTGTGTGACACAGATTAATCATTAAATCGCGGTTGTCCTTTCGCTGACGAAGCAGTTTTCTACGGCAATTTCTAAAAAATGAAAAATCCATTTTCAATTTTTTAGAAATTTTGAAAAATTGAGGTTTTTTATGAGGAGGAGCAGCTTTTATGAATTTTTATCTTTTTTTAGTATTTTCTTTGTGAACTTTCCTATTCGCTTTCTGAAAAAAACTGCGTTATGTAGGATGCTTTTTTCAATCTTTTCGCCCTACTTTTGTATCCTCTTACGCGGTAAGCGAGATTTTAAATAACTATGGAAGACACTTATTCTTCCAAGAGCTAGGCAGTTTTAAATCATTTCGAAATGTTTTTTTAAATCATCGCCGCTTGTTTACGACCAGTCGTTCCTGTGTTTTAATGTTACACTTATCTGGGTGGTCGCAAAGAATTCTAAATGTGATCGATTTATGGGCCCACAACAATATATCATTTGATGAGTTCAGCATTACACACATCTTTTTACCGCTCTGTTAACATAACAGGTACCAGGAAGTCTGCTGCATTCTGGCACCTAACGAAGCTATTTCTTCTAGTAAATACGTCGTCCAAAGTACTGATTTTTGTGCGTTCTTGCATAATATGCAAAAACACATATTGTGACGACCCCGGTGCACGTGTGTGTGCGCGTGCGTCTGTCCGGGTATTTCAACTCGGCACCCAAGCAAGCTCCGGCGCCAAAA